AGAGGAGGAGGATGGTAATGGACCAATAGGAAATGGTTCTTCCATTAAAAAAATAGTAACTTGGAGTCTTTTCAAATTACGTATGCCTGTGATATAAAGAATGAAGTTGTTCCATAAGGCTTAATAACCAACGTATGAAGGCAAGTGATAAAATATACCTGGAACATGAAATGTGCTGTGGAGAAAAATAAAGTAGGGAAAGGGTGTGGGGTGGTTCTGCAGAGGTACCACTGAGTAGAGGCCGGAGGATGAGAGGCTGGGGCTGTACAGTGTCTGGGAAAAGAGACCTCTCAGCAGAGAGGCCAGCTGTGCAAAGGCTCTGTGGTGGGAATGGGCCTGTTATGTTCTGGGAGCGAGAAAGGAACCGTGTCCCTGGAGGACAGTGAGTGTTGGGGTGACTAGGGGAAGAGGGGAGGACAGAGAGGTGCTGGGGCAGCTCAGGGGAAGCCTTGTGGGCCTCAGGCTCTGCTTATTCTGACCTCTTCTTCCTGCTGCAGAGTTCTCAGATCCAGGAACCGCCCCCCACTCCTGAGCTGCCTTCAGAGACCCAGGAGACCCTAGGCCCCGCCCTGTGCAGGTGATCCCCCTCCCCCAGTCCCGCCCATGGCCCCTATAAGCCTCCTGGTCCCCACTAGTGTCCTCTTTCCACAGCCCTCTGAGGAAATCGCCCCTGACCCTCGAGGATTTCAAGTTCCTGGCGGTGCTGGGCCGGGGTCACTTTGGGAAGGTGAGGAGTGGGAGCCTGGGAATCTAGACTTCAGTCTCCCTAGGCCAGGGTCCCAAGCCCACCCCTCTCTGCTGTGGTTCCAGGTGCTGCTCTCTGAACTCCAGCCCAGCGGGGAGCTGTTTGCTATCAAGGCTTTGAAGAAAGGGGACATTGTGGCCCGGGATGAGGTGGAGAGGTGGGCCACCCTGCTCAAGACCTCTAGGGGCCTTGGTCTTCGCCTCTGCAAAATGAGAAATAGAACAGTTGTCCTTTTTGAGCTTTTGGGAAATGACTCAGAACAGTTGTTTGGACGTATTAAGCTAGTCTTGGATGTAATGACTCTCATAAAGCACCCACTGTGTGCTATATAAGGTGCTCTGGTGGTGCTGTAAAAACACTGGACTGCTAACCACAAGGTCAGTAGTTCAAATTCACCAGCTGCTTCTTAGGAGAAAGATGAGGCTTTCTGTTCCTGTAAAGATTTGCAACCTTAGAAACCCTATATAGTGTTGGAATTGACTCACTGGTGGTGGGTGGGTGTGCTTTATATTCAGTAACTGATTTATTCCCCCTCAACAATCCTATAAGGTAAAGACTGTTATTGTCCCCATTCTGCTTATGGCACAGAGAGGCTAAGCAATTTTCCCGAGGTCACACAGCAACAGGACCAGAATTTGAACCTAAGGAGTCAGGCTCTGAAGCCTTGGTCTTAGTGATGTCACTATACTGCCTCTGCCTTGAGGTGAGAGACCCTGGGTTCAAATCCCACCTCTACCACCAATGTCCTTGGAGACCCTAGGGAAATGATTTAACCCTGAGCCTCAGCCTTCCAATCTGTGAAAGGGGAGAAAACTGCCTTTGTTGCAGGATTGTTGGGAGGATTAAATGAGAGAGTATGCATGGCTAAAGCCCTCAACATGGTGCCTGGCCCCTGAAAAGTCATGGTGGAAATACTGAGATGCTCTCCAGTCCTCTTGACTAGCCTTTTATGAATCAGGATGCCAACTCAGATAGACTTGAGCAAATAGCGGAATTTATTGATTTGGACTAGAAAAGTCCAGAACCTTCAGGCATAGCTGTATCCAGGTGCTCAGAGGACACATCTCAGCTCTGCTTTCTCTCCTGTGGACTTTGCTTGCAGTCCCCTTGTGGGGGCAGAAATGCCCCCTAACCCCAGCAGCTTCAGCCTCATCCCACTAGCTTTTGTCCGCCTTTCTGCTTAGTTGTAGCAGAAATCCTGGGCTACATAGCTTGATTGCCCATTCCTGAACCAGTCCTTGTCTAGGGAGATGGGGTGCTCTGATTAGCCTGGGCCTCATGCTCACCCCCCTGGTGGCTCCCCAATGGCTGTTACCAGGAGAAGGATGGATTCTGTGTGATCATTAAAGCAGATTAGACTGCCAGAGTTGAGAGGTATTAAGCATCTTGCCCCAGGTTATCCAGCAAATCAAGGTCCTATGTAGACCCAGGCCTGGCGCACAGGAAACCTCCCACAAATACCTATTGATTGAGGATCCTGGAGGTTGGGGCGGCCGTGGTCTCTGACCCTGCCATTCCTGCCCAGCCTGATGTGTGAGAAGCGGATCCTGGCGGCAGTGACCAGTGTGGGGCATCCTTTCCTGGTGAACCTCTTCGGGTGTTTCCAGACGCCAGAGCACGTGTGCTTTGTCATGGAGTACTCGGCTGGTGGGGACCTGATGCTGCACATCCACAGTGACGTGTTCTCAGAGCCACGTGCCATGTGAGTTCCTCCAGCCTGTCTTCCCTTCCCCCTCAGCACCTGATACCTTGGAACTGCTTACTTCTCAGGCCCTACCTCCCCTAGCCTCCTGGAGTTTAGGGGCTAGGGAGATGGGCTTTGAGGATGCTTACATAATGCTCCACTTGGTGGTAACCTGGCCCTCTTACACCAGTCTTTCTCGGCAGCTTTTATTCAGCCTGCGTGGTGCTGGGGTTGCAGTTTCTTCATGAACACAAGATTGTCTACAGGTGTGTGTGTGTGTGCACAGGTCTGCACTCTGCCCACTGGGGACCCTCCAGCCTCAGGCAGGACCTAGCTTGCCTTCATTGTGTTTACACCCCTTTGCCCCCACAGGGACCTGAAGCTGGACAATTTGCTTTTGGACACCGAGGGTTATGTCAAGATCGCAGACTTTGGGCTCTGCAAGGAGGGTGAGTGGGCCATGGCTGGATTTGGGTGGGCAGGGCCTACTGTGTCCAGCAGGGGCTAGGCTCTGAGAAGCTGGCCTTTGGGGATTCCACCCAGTACTGGCTTGCTCCCCATCCCAGACTGGGCTGTAGCTGGAAACCCATATTACCTCACATGGTTCTGCCGCCCCCAGGGATGGGTTATGGAGATCGGACTAGCACGTTCTGTGGGACCCCGGAGTTCCTGGCACCCGAGGTGCTGACAGACACGTCGTACACACGGGCTGTGGACTGGTGGGGGTTAGGCGTGCTGCTCTACGAGATGCTGGTTGGGGAGGTAAGGCTCCCAGTTCCCCTTGCTCTGTGCATCCCTTGGACTTCACTGGAATGGTACCTTCCTACATCCAGGGGTGGAGGATGAACTCTGCCTCCACACTGTGAGCTGTGCAGTTGGGGGCAGGTGGCTTCCCTCTTTAGCATCAGTTTCTGCATCTGTAAAACGGGTACTTACCACCCTCCACATAAGCCAACCCCATGTGAAAGTGCAGAGGGCAGGATTACAGGGAGCAGAGGAAGGAGCCTGCTTCATCCAGCCCTCCCTGTCCCCAGTCCCCGTTCCCAGGGGATGATGAGGAAGAGGTATTTGACAGCATCGTCAATGATGAGGTTCGCTACCCACGCTTCCTGTCGGCTGAAGCCATCGGCATCATGCGAAGGGTGAGGACCCTCCAATGTAGGGGGAGCCCTCATAGACCTGGGAAGGGAACCTGGGGCCCAGGAGAAGAAAGATCCTGATACAGTGCTCCCTCCTCCAGCTACTGCGGCGGAATCCAGAGCGGAGGTTGGGGTCCAGTGAGAGGGATGCAGAGGATGTGAAAAAACAGCCTTTCTTCAGGGTGAGACACCCTGCCCGGTCCTAGACACGCCCCCAGCAGAGCCCAGCCATTTACTGCAAGGGTCTGGTTAGGCCCCTCCCACAAGGGCACAGCTACTCCCACTCAAGGGAGGTCTGCTCACCCCTCTGAAGGCCCAGCCATTCCCCGAGAGCTTGACCATCTCCAACCAAGAACCTGGCCATCTCCCCTGAGGGGCCATCCCCTCAAATATAGTCACCTCCCCTTGATACCTCTACATCCTTGGCCTTCTCTCACCCACCCCAACTGGCCAGGTGAGCTTAGGCTTCCCCCACTGACCACCAGCCTCCCCCACCCCCCACAATGACACTCCATGAACCCCAGTTCCTCCCGTCCACCCACCTCCGCTATTTTGTGACTCCTACTGGTCACACAGATCCAGGGCAGGAGTTGGGGAGTTGCCCCTCTTGAGATCTGGCCCCCAGTCTCCCATGATCATCCTACCCCTGTCCGGCAGACACTGGGCTGGGATGCCCTGCTGGCCCGGCGCCTGCCACCGCCCTTTGTGCCCACGCTGTCGGGCCGCACCGACGTCAGCAACTTCGATGAGGAATTCACTGGGGAGGCCCCCACGCTGAGCCCGCCGCGGGATGCACGGCCCCTCACGGCTGCAGAGCAAGCAGCCTTCCGGGACTTCGATTTTGTGGCGGGGGCTGCCAGGCCCTCTCCACCCCTCCCCCACCGAGCTCTTAGTAGTTTTTAAAAAGGCCTTCGGGGTACACCCCACTCTTGCATCCTCGTCTCTTCCTGTACTAGTACTGGAATGGGGTGCATGGAAGTGGGAGAGTTGGGGGTGGGATAATCCCCTGGGTGGCAGACAGGGCATGTAGGGAGTGATGGGGAGGCAATCTAAGTTAAAGTGAGGGGGGCGTTTGAAGGGGTTAAGGAAGAGTAGGGACTCAGGGCTGTTAGGTGAAGGGTGGCTGGTACATGGGCAAGCGGCCATGTGAAGGGGGACTTGATCTGTGTTTGGGGACGGTGGGGTTTCCAGGCTGTGATGGACCGTGGTTTTGTGGTAAAGCTTTGGGACTGTATTGAGGCAGCTCAGAGCTGTGATGAGCAGAATGGTTTTGAATTTGACCTGGCGGCAGGAGGGGCAAGAAACGCCCCCAGGCCCCGGCTCTTTTGCCTGATGAGTCTGTCACCGGCTTGCTGCGGCTACTGCTACGTGATTCTGCACTTGGCTCCTGATGTTCCATCTCTGGCTGATGCCTCCGCGAGAACAGCGCCGAAACCCACCAGCAATGAACTGGTGCCTCTGCCGCCCTCGCAAGGCCACAGTCGGTGCTGCAGCCCCGACGAGACACACAGTAGTGGGCTCGTCCACAAAGTGGCTTTATTCCACGGCTCCACGCCACATACCGGGCCCAGGGTGGCTTGGTTTAACCCCAGGGCTTTGGGCGCTCCTAGAAGTGACCGAGGCTACTGTGCCGGGAGCTGCGCCTGGAGCTGAGCTCCCAGGCACTCCGGGTCAGGCTCAGCCCCACGTGGCCACCCTTAGTGCTGGCCCTCGGGGGCAGGAGGCGAAGTAGCTGGCGTAGCACTGCCTGGCGCAGCAGAATGTACACCCAGGGGTCCAGGATCTGGTTCCAGGAGGCGAGGCGCACGGCCAGAAACAGTGGCCGCTGTAAAGAGCTGGAGCCCCAGCCACCAACGGCCAGCACCACCAACACCTGCGGAGAAGCTAGCGTGAGCTTTGGGGGGCGGGCCTGGAGGACAGGGGGAGTAAAAAACGATGCAAGTTGTTGGGAGAAGCAGATGGGAACGCGGAGCAAGGCTGGAGGGGAGGAGCGGGACTATCAGGTTGGGTTGCGAGGAGAGGTGGGCATTTTAGGATGAGTAGATGGGGGTGTATGCTGGAGGAGCTATGGATGCGGGCTTCGGAGGGCGTGGTAGAAACAGGCCTTCGAGGATCATAAAGATAAGTCTCAGGTATCTCCAAGGACAGGGGGCAAAGCAAAGGAGAAGACAACGATGGGGACAGGGGCAGGCAGGCCAAGGGCGGATAGTTATGGGGAGAGACTCCAGTTATCTGGAGAAGGAGTACTGTAAGAAGGGAGTATAAGGAAAGGATAAAGGGCAGACTTCTTCCGGAAGGCAGAACTGTAGGCCTAGCGCGGGAGAGAAGAGCAGGCTCTAAGGACCCTCAGGAAGGAGGAGGATAAGGGGTTGAGGAAAGGCTAGCTCTCCTGGGAGGGCAGTGGTGGGTGAGGGTGAAGGCCCAGGTATCTCAAGGAGGAGGCAGGCCAGGTTGGGAGCAGAAAGGAGTCGCTAGGGGCGCTGCGCCCCTCACCAGCAGTGGGCTCCAGCAGATGCACGACACCATCATGATGCCCACGAGCTGGCCCACCATCTCCACGTCGTGGGCTCGGGTTCGGCGCGTCGAGCCGCCGCCTGAGGAGCTGCTGGGGGCAGTAGAGGCGAGAGACGAGGCAGAGGCCGAGTGTGCTCCCCAGCGGCGACGGCCTAAGCGACCATCGGGGCCCGGGGGCAGAGAGCGCCGTCGAGAGCGGCGGCGCCAACGGGCGCGCAGCAGAGCCAAGCCGCTGAGTGTGTTGCACACGAGCGCAGCAAGCAGTGCGACCAGGCCGAGGCCGGCAAAGAGACCGGCGAGCAGAGCCTGGCGCCAACCACCCGCCGGGCCTAGGCCGATGAAGCACCAGGTGCCAGGGTACTGCAGCTCATAGCGACCCACGCGCGCCAGCGGCAGCAGCGCCACGGCCAAGGCCAGCGCGGCCAGCGCGGCCAGAGCCAAGCGCGCGCGAGCAGTGGAGACGCGCGCTGCGTGCAGCAGCGGCCGCGTGACACCTACGCAGCGCTCCACTGCCATGCCGCAGCCTAGCAGCAGCGGGCACAGACCAAAAAAAACCATGCAACCGCCTAAGAAGTGGCAAGCGCCACCGGCGGGTGCTCGCCCCACTGTGTACAGGCGCAGCACTAGCGCGCCCGGGATCACGTGGCCCGCCAGGTCAGTGGCTAACAGGCTGGCGACAAATAGCAGAAAGATGGCGGCTGAGCGGCGACGTCTTAGGCGGCCCGCGGCCTGCGCCAACAGCGCTAGTGCCAACATGTTGGACACGGCGCCCAGTGTCATGGAGAAAATGGGCAGAGCCGGTGACGCTGCCGGACGGCCCGACGGTGGCGCAGCCGACGCATTAGGAGTCCCGGGCGCCATGCACGTGGTCGCCTCGCCGACCAGGCTCAGGTTGAAGGGCCCGCAAGGGCCCATGTCAGGTGCCGGAGGACTGGGAAGAGGAAAAGAGGGCTAGGTGAGGCGGGCATAAAGGATTAGGACCAGTCGGTCTGTCAGGGTCAGGGCCCATTTGAGCACAAGGCCTTCCTGGGAGGTCCCTTTGTCTGTGACAACTCTAAATGATCCTTACAGCTGGATTCCGGAGGCCCACCTCCTCCTTTGCCTTTCACCACCCTGCCCTCCACTGCACCCTGCCCTGCCCATCTGTTCCTTCCAAGATACTGCTGCCCCATCCCTCTGCGTCTCTGCCCTCCACCTTCATATCCTTCCCAAGACACATCTCTATCTTCTGGCCCCTTCTGACACCAGGAACCCATTTCTGACTCCAGGGACCCACTCACCCCCACTGGCCCATCGCTGATCTTCACTTTGGTCCCATCCGAAGTGGCACAACTTTCCTCCAAAGCTCTGTGTGGTCCCATGATCATATCTCAATCCCCATGGCCCCATTTATGTCCCCTTCAGCTACATCTGTGCCCCTTGGCCTTGTCTCTATCCCCCTCTGCCATGTCTGTCCCCACAGCCACATCTCTATCTCTGTGGCTGTTTCTGTCCCCATGACCATCTTAGCTACATCTGTCCTTCACATCCCTCTGTATGTCCCCACTGCTTCGTCTCTGCCCCCCCACTCAGCCATGTCTCGGTCCCCTCAGCCACATCTGTCTTCATGGCCCCTTGTCTGTCGCCCTTGGCCACATCTCTGTTCCCACAGCCCCATCTTTTCTCTCTATAGTCCTGTGTCTGTCCTCATGACAAAATCTCTGCCCCCCATGGCCTTATCTCTGTCACATCTTTGTCCCCAGCAATGTCCACCAGCCACATCTGTCCCCACAACCCTGTCTCAATCCCCCTTGGCCACATCTCTGTCTCCCATCAATTTGTCTCTGTCCCTCACAACCACATCGCTATGCTCCATGGTGATCTCTTCCCCAGGTCCTGTCCCTGATTCCCATGCCATCACCCTGGACTCCCACAGTTCCACTCCTGCCCTCCCCATGCTGGGCCCAGTAGGTCTCAAGGGTGAGCCAGGACAGTCCATTCCTCACTACCCTGGTAGTGAGTCGGGTGGATGGATGGTAAGACCGACAGAGACGGACTGATAGGTCTGGGAGCCAAGGAACCCGGGATGGATAAGCAGAGGTAGTGCTTTCCTGCCCTCCTCCCCACCTGAAGGCCTGCATCCCAGCCTCTTACCCAGCGCTGCCTGGGACCCTGGGTCCCCATCGCCTGCCGCACACCCTTGCTGGTTGCTTGCTGCACCCGCTGTGCCCTGGCTCTCCAGGCCGCTCCTTCCTTCCTTCCCTCCCTCTGGGGCGGCTCCTCTGCTCCCTGCCTCCTCCCAGTCCAACCACCCCCGCCTGACTCCAGGGGCTGCTCCTGTCCTTGTTCCCACTGGGGGCCTGAGGTAACAAAGACCCCTCCTCTGCTCTTCTGGTAATAGGCTGAGGCCCCTTCAAGTCCCAGCTCCCCCAACTTGGCTTGGACTCCAGGACCCCTTCCCCCCAATAGGGTGGGTACAGCCCCCTCTTCCTGCAGGCAGGCTTCTTATTGCCTCTTTGCCTCATTAATAAAGTGGATAAAATCTAAACACTGGAAAATGTGAGTGTGGCCTGGGGCGGTTCAGGATGACTTCAGGGGGTGCTGCAGCTCTGACCGGGCTGTGGGGTTGGCCCTCCCAGCCCCAAGCATAGGCAGTGGCACCCCGTTCCAATAAAGTCTTCCTGGATGTCGGAGTGGGTGGTAGAGGGCAGTGCCTTGGGTGAGACCCAACCTGACCAGGGAATCCGCCCACTATTTATACAAGGGGCTTAAGCCCAGGCCAAGGCTCAGAGAGTCATACCCCAGAAGGAAAGGGGGAGGAGGCTGAAGAGGGACAGGAGCCAGGAGGCCTGGCTACCCGAAGACTCTTTCCCCTTGATGGCTCCTCCGGGTCCTTGGTTCCACTTTAGGATGTATCGCCCAACATCTGGTACACGTGATCCCAAGCCAAGACAGTCATACCTAAACCCTGGAGACACAGCCTTACTGCCTGTTGGAAGGAGGGCCACACCCCTGGGATGCACATATAGCATCGCACCCTAAGATGTAGCTGCAGTCACACCTGTCTGCAACATTATACTCCTCAGTGCCTCGGGTAACCATCATCAGTGCTCGAACTCACCAAGGCTGCCTCACCCCAACAAGGACCTGAGTGCTTAACCCATCACCCCTTAGCACCAACACACCCTTGTATCTCTTCCTGCTAAGACCACTTCTGTCATCCAGACAGACCCCTTAACCCAAGGTAGGCCCTCTACCACCCAAGTATACCACACAGTATCCTCCACACCCAAGATAGTTGGAGTAGTTCACCCCAGAATCCAGAGACCTAGCTAGTGGTTCACCCCTCCCAGAAAGAGCAACACTGAGGTACAATGCACCTGCTTCTGAACCCCAAGACCTAGCCAACCAGTCCCAGAAACTGCTACACCAAGACACATGTTCACATCCCTGAACCTCCAAAGCTAGATCACCCCTCCCCCAAACAGCAATGACCACACTTAACACCTGAATACCTGGACACATTATCTGCACCCACTCCCTGCTCCCAGTTACAGTCCTCACAGTCCTTACCTGCAACCCAGACACTGACAGGCACACCCTTCACGACCTGACATCCACTGCACTCCGAGGTGGATCTACCTCACCTTGTGGGACCAGCATGTGCACCCAGCCCAGCCCCCCACCCCCAACGCTCCTACTGGAAGTGGGAAGTGGATGGGCTCAGAGTCATCCACAGCCTCTCAGCTTGCCCCCAAACATTCCTACAGGGACCTCTGGCCTGGCTCCCCTTGCTTCAATTCCAGTCCTTCCCCTCCAGGTTTGGCCGGGGTCCGACCCCCCCACCTCCCGTCCCTCACAACCCTTGAGGATCAAGTGAGTTGTCAAAACAAGCAAGCTAGGTTTATGTCTGTTGCAAAGCATTTCGTTCAGATGCCAGAGACCCTGCACATTTAGGAATCTGCTGGGGTGGGAGCAGTGCTGTGTCAGGAACCACCACTGCCCTGAGGGTGAGGTGAGGGTCGAGCAGCATCAGGAGCCCCCTCTGTCCTGGGTAGGGTAGGAGCAGCTGCCTCCCATCAGCACTTGTTAGGACAGGCCTGGGACATAGGGCTCACTACCTGGTGGTCGCTTTTCCAAGCTGGTTCTGGATGCCCCCTTGCCCTGGTGCTTGCTCCCCAGATTGGGGTCCCCTTCCACCTCTGTCATAGATAAGAGCCTAACAGAGTAATGAGGTATGGGAGGACGGCTCATTCCAGAAGATTCATTCAGAGAGTGGGATTTGAACCCTCAGTAGGCTTTGCCTGGAAGCGCATGGCCTTCAGCCAGGAGCCTCAACAAGCGGAACGGTGGGAGGGGGTGGACGGACGGGCAGCTTCTAATTCAATTTGGAGTCTGAGGAGGATGGATTTCAGCTGCTGCATTCTTTCCCAGCCTCGGCACACCCTCTCTCCCTGCCCTTGAACACACAGGTCCAACAGCAGATAGATTCTTTATGATCAGACAGCAAATTCATATACAAAAGCCCACTGCCCGGTCCCCTGTTCTGGTAGGTCCTGGCTGGGCGGGGGACAGGTAGGGGAGGTTGGGGTTCACAGCAGACTCATTCAAATTCAGAGGTAACAGACTTCAGGACAAGGGGCTTCTTTAGGGGACGGCAGAAGGGAGGGTATTATTGCATCTGCTGAGGGGGTTGTCCCCCTTCTACATTCCCTGCGTCAGGAATCTAGGGAGGTCATGACCCCCAAACAGAACCCAAGGCCCCAGGGATACAAAGGGGCCAGTTTGGCAGCTGATGTGGAAAGTGTTGAGGGTGGGGATGACTGCCCAATTTGGCAGGTCCCTCCCTGCAGTGCCTAACCCGGCTGAGGTAGGTGGGGAGCAGGGCAGGGGGTCTGGGGACCCCAGCCAGGCTGGGTAACAAGGAGAGAGTTGGTACCGATTGGACTGGGGCAGGGGCCCGGCCCATCCCTGCTCCACACTGCCATTGGGCTAGGGTCTGGGCATGGTGGTCTCTCTAAGAGTCCCCACCAGGGCAGGCCCAGGTCATTGCAAGGTCCAGCGAGTGGCCTAGTAGCGGCCAACCTTGGCATCCCCAATGGCGCCCCAAACGTCAAAGACGAACTCGTCCGGGAAGGCAAAATCACCAAGCCGCTCGTCCAGGGCCTCTGCCAGCTCATCTGGGTTCTTTTTGTCCTTCCCCAACTCCACCATGGTGGCCGCTGGAGAGAGCAGGGAAAGCGTAAAGACAGAGATGACCCAAGAGGCCGAGATCCAGCCCCATGAGACCTAGAAGCCCCCTTTCCTTCAGACTCCTGCCCCACCCCAGGCACCCCACTCACCCAGCTCTGTGTCCCTGATGCCCATGTAACTCTCCAACAGGTCATCTACCTTCTCAATTGCCTTCTCCTCAAAGGCCGAGGGCTGGGGAAACAGCGACGTCAAAATAACATGAACACGGTAGTACTCACCAAGTCTCAGGCCTTCTTTCCATCACTTCTGTTGGCAGTGTTAGGTGCTGTCCAGTCAGTTCTGACTCTCAGCAACCCAGTATAGGGTTTCTGATTAACAGCAGATGGGTTTGAACCACTAACCTTGTGGTAAGAAGTCCAGGGCTTGTTATCCCCATTGTACAGATGGGGAAATGGAGGTTCACTTGCTAAAGGTCAGAGTAGCAAGGTGGCACAGGTAGGATTTGAAAGACAGCAGGGTGGGAGCACGGAGGTGTGCCTGGAGCACTCACCAGATCTTCCACAGTGGCAGGGCCCCGAGATCGAAGCCGCAGGGTCCCTCGACCAGTGCCTAGCTGGGGGCCTGAGCCAGGGCGGCCACCCCCAGAACGCTGGCTGATCATGTCTATGGGAGACAGAGTGGGGGTAAGAGCTTCTGGGTAAGCCCCTCTCCAGTATGCTCTGGGCAGGAATCCAGATCCCAGACCCCTTCACTAAGCTTCTATAGGGACCCACAGACTCCCAGGGATAGGGGCTGAGGTGACCCCAGGAAGGCAAACCACCCAACTCAGGCTTGGCATGGGATGGGTAGCCAGAGGATGGAGACAGAAAGGACTAGAAGGGGGTCCCCTTCTTCTCCCAAGCCTGGGTCCCAGCTGCCGTCTCCCTGGCCAGGGGGCATATAGCTGCTGGGCCACAAACTGCTCTACTCGCTGGAAAAAGGTTTTGGTGTCTCCCACCCCCACCCAGGGGCCTCAGGCCCATTCCTGAGAGTCAGTGAAGCCAGGCACTGAAGTGGTGGTGGCAGTGGTTGGGGGGTGGGGGGAAAGCTGGCAGGGTGCAGTCAAGCCTGGCTCCTTTGGGCTAGGGGGCTGGCCAGGGCTGGGGGAGTTTGGCTGGGCTAATAGCTGCTGGACACGGGGTGTGGGGGCAGCTTCCTCCTTGTTTGGCGGAAAGCCAGCACCCCTTCTTTGGGGCAGGGTGAGGCTGTTCCTGTTTCCTCTGCAGCCTGCTGGCCTTGGGTGCCACATGCTGGCGACTTCCAGCACTGCAGCCTAGAGCCTCACCAAAGGCCTTGCGGGGTTCCGTGAGCTTCAGGGTGAAGGTGCGGCCTCGAGGTAGCTCCTTGAGCAGCCGGGCCACCTCGTAGTGACGGCAGCCCAGCAGGCTCTGCCCGTTGATGGCCTCAATCATGTCACCCACGCTGATGAGCTGGATGTGGTCGATCACGCTGCCCTCCTTGATGCGCTGCGGGGAGGGGAGCTGTCAGTCCCGGGTCTCAGGGCACCACCCGTAGCCCCCACTAGGGCACCCCACTCATCCTAGGCACCTTGATGAAGGCGTAGCCGGCCCCGTTGTCTGTGATGGTGAGCCCCAGAGCCTCCTCCGACTTGAACACCTCTACCTCCTTGCGCTGCCCCTTGACATGGGCGAAGATGAAGTCCTCCAGCCCAATCTGCCCCCCTAGGAGCTTATCCATGTCCACTTTGTGCGTGTTGAGGGTGCAGAACATCACCTGGAAGGGTGGAGTTCATCCATCTCTCACCGCCCTTCCTAATGGGGCAGGGAGGCGAGTGGGGAAAGGCCTGGCGGGTTTCTGTTCCCACGACTGACCACCATGAGGTAGGGCAGAGCCCCATTAGGATGCCCGTTCTGCTGGGACCAGGAGTTTTAACCTCTGCTGTTTGCAAGGTGTACTCAGTAAATGCTGGAGGGAATGAAGGCAGAGGTAGATTCCCACCCTGCCTACTGAGACCCCCTACATCAACTTTCTGGCTCAATCCCAGTCTCCCTCTCTTAAACCCCATAATCTACTGGGGTTCAGGCCTCAGCATCTACAGCTTCAGCATCTGAACAGGATGAATGGCTTATGAACAGGACTCAGGACCACACCTACAGCCCCCCATTAGAGGCTCTGTGCCTGGCTCCCTAGTGGGTACCTCAGCTGCTGGCAGTTTGAAGGCCTCCGCAATCTTGCCGTACAGCTCCTTGACGTTGGTGAAGCCTTCGATTCGGCCAGTGGGACTGCCATGGGCAAGCTGGGTGTGGAACACGAGGCGGGGCCGCAGGGCCGGAGGAGGGGGAGGCAGACCCATCTGAGGTCCCCCTGCCCCAACCCCACCCAGAGGCCCTGACTCCCCCACACCCAGCCCGCCACGGCCTGGCTCAGCTTCCTCATTTTCCACCAGAGGCGGTGCCTTTTTTCGCCGCCCTAGTCCCAGTGGCATGGGCAGTGAGAAGAGGGGATCTGTGGGGCAGGAGAGTGGGCTCAGAACCCTGTGGTGGCCTCAGGCTGCCCCCTCCCCTCTCCCAGTACCCGAAAGTTCCAATTAAGTGTTTCAAGAGGAAGCCTTAGTTCAAATCCTGATTTAGAATTATCACAACCCCATACTAACTGCTCTGTTACTCCTATTTACTCTGTACACACCACACAGTTACACAGAAACCCTACTGTGTAGGTTATACCCATTTAACAGCTGAGGAAATGGAAGCTCCAAGAGGTATCTTTCTAGCTCAGGCTATCATGGGTGCTATGTACCTAACAGCTCTACCTTCCTCCAACTCGAATCACTTGCTGACCCCTTGTGATTGGGTGGGCATTTAGATGGGCGTGAGACCAATTCTGTCCAATGAGTTACGAGAAGGGACACGTGACACTTCTGGGCTGAAGCATTTCAGTGTGACTCTGAGGACCTCGAGAGCTCTAGTTTGCTATGGCAGGGTGACCAGCCACACTGGATACAGAGCAGGCAGAGTCCATACAGGGCTGCAATGAACATCTGTTAAGTGCCTTCGAATTGGTTCTGACTCATCGCGAGCCTGTATAGGGATTCCAAGGAGCAGCTGGTGAATTTGAACTGCCAACCTTGTGGTTCAAACTAATAACTTGTGTCCTTTTCAGCCATTAAGATGTAAGGGGTTATTTGTTACTGCAGCAACACCTCTCTTGACTCATACACTTTCCCAGGTTTTTTTTTTTGTCTCTCTCTTTTTCCTTCCTTCTCTTCTTCCCGTCTCCCTTCAAACACACAGCCATCAGGAGCTTACTATAAAGTTTAAATAGACAGGGGAAGGGATGTCATGCTACATGAAGGTTACCCAGGACCTTCCCCAAGAGCCAACAAAGCCAGCACCTTGAATTTGAACTTCTAGTCTCCTACACTGTGAGAAAACAGGTTTCTGTTAAAGCTACATACTTGGGATACTTTTGTTACAGCAGCACCCGATGACTAAGACAGAATTTAGCACCAAGAGTAGGGTGCACCTCTAACAGACACCTAAAATGTGTAAGCAGTTTTGGAATTGGTTCAAGGAAAGAGGTTGGAGGAGTTATTCACTGGACTGCTATCTACTAGGTCAGCAGTTCAAATCCACCAGCTGCTCTGTGGGAGAACTATGAGGCTCTCTGTTCCCGTAAAGATTTATAGTCTCAGGAACCCTATACAGAGTCAATATAAGTCAGAACCAATTCAACGGCAGTGGGTTGTGAGTTGGAATCGACTACAGGACAGTGGATTTTGTTTTCTGGTTTGGTATTACATTCCATGGGAGAAACCCTATACAAGGTCGTTATGAGTTGGAACTGACTCCATGGCACACAGCCGCCACCACCCTCTATATTCCAAGCATGATTTTAGATGCTGGAGACACTGCCTTCAATCAAACAAGCACGGTCCCTGCCTAGGGCCACCACATGCAGCTGTACAGGTTGTTCTTAGTGCAAAAGCAGCAGACCCAGGGGTGGGTGCTGGGCCTGCCAGGCCACAGTACCTGGTTGGGGGTGTCAGCTAGGAAGAAGGTCTGCCTAAATGCTGTACAGGCTAGCTGGGCTCTGTCCCTGCTCCAAAGGTGTGTCAAAGACAGATGGGGAACACACACAGTGAACATCTAAATGTCTAATATAATTTCTCACAGTGCTATGAAGCCAGTAAAAACAAGGCAGGTTCTTTAGATAAGGTCAGGGAGGGCCTCTCTGAAGATCTGAGACTTGAATGAAAGGAAGAATCAACCATGCATGGAACAGGGGGAAAGAGTGTTTCAAGCAGAAGGAAGAGCTGTGCAAATGCCCTGGGGTGGGGACATGCCAGGAGGCCTGTGTTGTTAGAGCAGAGTGACGTGAAGACAGGGAGGTGGTGGGGCCTGGTGGGCCACTGGAGGACTTGGGCGGGAACCAGGGAGGGCTGTGAGTATAAAAGGGACGTCCCTGGTGTCCTACCAGTGCCTCCTGGCTCACATATCAGTGAGGAGACAAGTGTAGCTGGAGTGGAGTGAGCAAGGGGCAAGCAGGGAGGTGATAAAAGGGGTGTCGGGGACAAGTCATGCAGGGTCTTGTAGGGCGGGGTGAAGAGTTGAGATTTCATGTTGAAGTCACACCCACAGGTCTGTTCGAATCACCAAGTCCCAGTTCAATACCACGAAGCTGTCCCCTGGGCTTTGTTCTCCCTGGGCCTCAGCTGTCTGCAAATGATGATATTACACCCACAGTCCTGGGCAGTGGTGAGAATCAAGTTATATGAAATAACAAATAACCTTCTCTCAAAAGGGGCCAGGCTGTGCCCTCCCTTCAGCTGCTTCCAGGGGCTGTCCTGCACCCACCGGTCCACCTGCCCCACTGTTTCATTGATTAATCCTCCAACACCACCCATCCTTGCTCACCTAGACTGGTGCTGTCGTCTCCTTCTGGTCTCCCCGCTTCTACCTGGCCCCCCACGGCCTCTTGTCAACACAGCAGCCAGAGTGATCCTGGAAAACATCAGTCATTGCACATCCTTCCAATGCCCGGAACCCTCCTCACTTGTAACAAAAGCCCACGCCTCCCCTTGGCTCACAGGGCCCTGCAGGATCTGCCTCCTCACCTCCCTGCCTTCAGTTCTTCCTATTCTCCTCCAGTGACGACCTCCTGCCTGTTCTTGCATGAAGATGAGTACACTCAACTGGGCTTGACTAAACCCAGGACGGGCTCAGAGCTTTTGCACTGTCTGCTCCCTGTGATTTCCACATGACTGCCTTATTGTCTTTCATCTCTATATGCACGTTGAACAGTACCTCATAGTGAATGTGTAACAAATATTTGCTGAATGAATGAATGATCCTACTGCCACAATCAACTCAGGGAAGCAGCAGTCAAGAAATCAAACAATGTATTACATTAAGCAAGTCAGCTACCCAAGACCTCCTTAAAGTGCTCAAGAGCAAAAATATCAGTTTGAGGACTGAAGGTGCGCCTGCCCGAAGCCTTGGTATTTTCAACAGCATCATATGCGTGTGAAAGTTGGACAACGGATAAAGAAGATCACAGAAGAATCGACACATCTGAATTATGGTGTTGGAGAATACTGAAAGTATCACCGACTGCCAGATGGACAAATAAATCTGGCTAGGCAGAGCTAAGATGAGGCTTTCTACTCCCGTAAGGATTTACACCCTCGGAAACCCTGTACAGGGTCGCTATAGGTCGGAACCGACTCGAAGGCACATAACAACAACAACAAAGGCAGAAATAAAGCCAGAATTCTCCTTAGAAGCAAGGATGGTCAGACTTTGTATTTCTCCTACTTTGGACATGTGGTCAGGAGGGATCAGACTCAGGAGAATGACATCATGCTTAGTCCAGGGGAGGGTCAGTGAAAAATATGAAGAGTCCCCAGCGAGACAGATTGACAGAGTGGCAGTAACAATGGGCTCACGCGTCACGGTTGTGAGGATGGGTTCAGGAGCCGGTAGGTTTGTTCTGCTGTGCGTAGAGTTGCTAGGAATCAGAACAGACTCAATGGCAACTGACAACTTGCGGCTCACTCTAGAGTAACCAAAGGTCAGAGGTGTGGTCCCGGCCCTCAAGAGTCTTGTTTCCTCTGCAAAAGCATATGTCCACTTCCCACTTTGGGCTTTTTTCCCCAGGGCCACTTCCCAGGATTGGGCACCTAGTAGGTGCCTCTTCTAGCCAGTAAGCGCCTCCAAGGCAAACAGAGGGGTTTGGGTTTTGTTTTGTTTTTTCACTTTCATTGTGGTTTTTGGTTTTCATGCTCCTAATCATCAACAGCCCGAACACTCTTTTATCCAGTGACTGGCTGTTTGAACTGGCCCTTCTGTGCCCTGCTTCTTTCAGTCTTTGGTTTTGTTTTGTTTTAATTCAAATATGTTTATTGTGTTCTTGCCGAAGGTATATATGCACAATTAGGTCTCCATTTAATACTTCACTCAGTGACACTGACTATATTGATCTGCGTGTGTCAAATTTTACAGTACGCTGTGCTGGCTGGGTCTTTCAGACTTTTACCTTTTTTTTTTTTTTTTTTAATTAAACTGCATGTTCAGTCTTTCTCTTACTAACGTGTGGGGACTCTGTATCAGGGAACCTCAAAAAGTTTGTAAAAACAATAGAATGAAAAGATCATGGAATTTTCCCCATGTATATTCCAGATACTCAGCTTTCACTGGTTCCTTCATCTCTCAATCTATAGACCCCAGCCCAGGGTCTTGAGGGGAGTAGACACTCAATAAACAACCACAAAAACAACACATTCTAAATGAACCCCCCCCCAGCACTGCTCCTTCAAGTTGTTTAATCACTTTCAGTGATGCTAAAAGCAAAGACAAAAACCCTAAATCCACTGTGTGATCGTTAGAGTTTTGTGTCAACTTGGCTAGGCTAGGATTCTCAGTAGTTGAGATGTGGTCTGATGGGATCTGCCCCCATCTGATGTGATTCCTCCTATGTGAGGCAAATTTTCATTTCTATGATGTCAAGGAGGCTGGATGCAATCTACGGGATAAGGCTGCATCTTGAGTCAATCTCTTGTGAGATATAAAGAAAGAGAAACGTGAGAACTCAGAAGGATGGCCTACCATCAAGAAATACGGACACTTGGACAGTGAAGTGCATTCTTTGTACCAGGGATCTCTGCATTGAGAAACTTCTAGATCCAAAGGAAGACTGATGCCAGATATAGAGCTCTCTAAGGAATGCTGGCCTGACAGATGCTGAAAGGAAATAAAGACCTTTCCCCAGCGCCAGCAAAGACAAAAAGCCCTTACACCTAGAGCCAGCATTCTGAATTTGGACTTTAAGCCTCCTAAACCATGAGAGAATAAATGTGTTAGCTAAAGTCATCCACTTGTGGTATTTCTGTTATAGCAGCACTAGATAATGAAGACATATAGGGAGGCTGGATGTATGCATCTAGAATCTAACATCCTCTCTTACTAGCTGTGTGACCTTGAGCAAGTGTCTTAACTTCTC